ACACACATCAAGAAAACAGAAGGATCACAAGTAAACGGTCTAATGACATACATAAAAGAGTTGGAAAGGCAAGATCATCTAAATCCTAACTTCAGCAGAGGAATTCAGACCACCAAGACAAAATTACAGTTGCAGGATATAGAAGACAAAAATATCACAGAAAGGATCAACAAGACAAAAATCTGGTTATTTGAAAGGATAAATAAAATTGATGGATCCCTGGCCAGATTGACTTTTAAAAAGAGGGAGGAAGTTCAAATAAACACAATTAGAAATGCAAAAGGCAAAGTCACAACTGACATTGAAGAAATTCAAAAGATTATTAGAGATTACTCTAAAAATATGTATGCAAATAAACTAGAAAACCTAAAGGAAATGGAGGACTTTCTGACATCACACAACCTCCCAAGGTTGAAACAAGAAGGAATCGAAACTATAAACAGACCAATAACAATCCAGAAAATCCACTCAGTCATAAGAAGTCTCCCCACCAAAAAATAAAAATAAATATCAGACCAGATGGCTTCCCAGTTGAATAGTACAAGACATACAAGGAGGAGCTGATGCCAGTTTTATTGAAAGTATTCCAGACAATCAAGAATGATGACGTTCTCCTCAACTCATTTTATGAAACTAACATCATACTGATCCTTAAACCTGACTAAGACCCAACAAGGAAAGAGAACTATAGGCTAATCTCCTTGATGAACACTGTCACAAAAATTACCAACAAGATTCTAGCAAATCAGATTCAACAACACATTGCTATAATCATCTACCATAACCAGATAGGCTACATCCTGGGATACAGGGCTGGTTCAACATTCACAAGATCATAAGTGTAATTCAGCACATTAACAGATGTAAAAACAAGAACCACATGACTATATCATTAGATACAGAAAAAAATATTCAACAAAATCCAGGATTCCTTCTTGATAAAAACCCTTGAGCACCTAGGCATAGAAGAAATATTTCTCAAAACAATAAGAGCTATCTATGATAAGCCCACAGCCAATATTTCGGTCAATAGGCAGAAGCTGGAAACATACCCCTAAGAACAAGAGCAGGACAAGGGTTCCCTTTCTCTTTCCTCCTGTTCAACATAATGCATGGAAGTTCTAACTAGAGCAATCAATCAAGAGAAGGAAATCAGGAGTATCCAAATAGGAAAAGATGAAGTTAAGCTATCCCTCTTTATGGATAGTATGATTCTATGCCTTGAAAACCTTAAGGAGTTTGTCAAAAGACTCCTCCCTTTGATAAATGACTTTGGTAAAGTCTCAGGCTACAATTTCAACATGCAAGAGACAGTTTCATTTCTATACACCAGAAACAAGCACATGGAGAACCAAATAAAAAGGACAATCCCAGCCGGGCTCGGTGGCTCAGCCTGTAATCCCGCGCCTTTGGGAGGCTGAGG